AAAAAAAAAACAAAAAAAACCGTGATACACTGCCTACCTCTTGGGATCTTGTAGTCTATAGTAGAAAAGCATAAATGGTTAAATACATTATTCTAATACAGTGTAGTAAGTATGATGACAGGTTGATACAAAGACAGATGACCCTGAAATTTGGGTTTGTCGGGGGGTTAAGGGGAGTCAAGGGTGGCTTCAAAAAGGACTGATACCTGAATTATCCTGAAGGATAAGAAGGAATTAGTGAAACTCCCAGATTAAAAACATTAGCAAGAACGTTTTTTCTTATTGTTGTCAATTCTGCTGTTTTCTACAAAAATATAACTTGTCAAAGGTTCCCATTTACTGTTTTAAAAACAAAATAATAAGTTGTTCAAAATTCTTAGTCAGCCTTTCCCCATCCCTTATTTAAATTTTTTCTTGCCTCTGTCTGCTTCTTTAAATGCTTAATGGATTTTATGTTTATCTGTACCTTGGTCTTCACTAAGGAGGTTGGAAGAGAAAAGGAGGGTAGGGTGAAAGGCCTTCTAGACAGGGGAGATAGCCTGAACAAAAGCATATGTTGGAATATGTAGCAGTGAACAAAAGAGAATAATTTCAGCTTTCATGAAGATGTACAGCATACAGTTGCAAATAAAGAATTCAAGTTCCAAAGAACTTTATAATACAAATACAGATTTGGACACAATTTCTAAAAATGATAGGTAGGCTGGAGGAGTAGACGAGTTTGAGGTAAAAGATGTGGGGAGAGAAATCTTGGGGGGCAGAGGGCATGGGGAGAAAAAGTGGCCAGCAAAGACGACAGACAGCCTATATTAATTATCAACTTTGTGTTTTCTTTCCCCCGGGCTCAGATGGATAGCTCCCAGTTGATCCACTGTCGGGAGCTTGTGGCACATCACCTTTCTACTCTGCAGTCTTCCCTGCCTCTAAATTCCGTTTATGTCTACCGTCCCCTCAAGCACACCCTGGTGACCTGTGACAAAGGAGTGTTCAGATTACATCCCTCCTCTGCCCCAGGCCCAGATTTCTCCAAGGACAACAGCAAACCAGAAGTGCCAGTCAGAGGTACAGCAGCCTTCTACCATCATCTCCCAGCTGCCAATGGGTGCAAGCATACCTCTGCTAAACGCAAAGTAGAGGAAATGGAAGTGGACGACTTCTATGATGGGATCAAACGGCTCTATAATGAAGATAATGCTTCAGAAAATGTGGGTTCTGTGTGTGGCACTGATTTATCAAGGCAAGAGGGACATACTTCCCCTTGTCCACCTTTGCAGCCTGTTTCTGTCATGTAGCTCCAGGTGTTACCTTCAAGTGCAACCTAAGGTAGACTACTGTGGGAATGGGGACATGGAAAACAGGATAGGCTGTATAAAGGTATATACCTTACCAGGCTGATTCGAAATGAGCCAGAAAAAAAAAAAAACCTGTTGACTTGTATGGCTAATTATAATTCAACATTATTTAAGCACTTAAAGACCAAAAAAAGTGTAAAATTCAAGATCAAAAAATTTTTAACTAAAAAATTTCTTCGTAGTTTGTCGGTTCCACCCTTTTCTCTGCTAAAATGTAATGTAGATTACCCTGTGTCAGAAATTCACGTTCAGTGTTTTTTTTTTTTTAAAGTTCCAAAATTCCTAGCTAGCAGACCTTGTCCCAGAATCCTGATTTAATTTTCCTCTTGCTTTTGCTTGCTGCTGCTTTGAATACTAAATGAATTTTATGCATGTTGACCTATAGCCTGACTTCCACTGATGAGGAAACCCTGAAAATTTATTTTTAGCAATTTAGTGAACAAATTATTTCAGCGACAGCCATGTTTATAATCCATGATTCAAATTCAACTTAATCTGAAAAAGGTACTTCAGAATCGCCTGTGAATCAGAGTTGGTAACAGAAGAATTATTCCCATTACCATGTTGATTTTTGTTTGTCTCCTTTCAATTTCTAGAGTTTGGAAACAAAATTAATATTTTCATTTTTATCTTAAATTGAAGCTTAAAAGCGGCATGTGATTAGGACACTCTTAAGATTTGTTGGAAGCATTTTTGACATTTGTATAATAGAATTTGTGATAAAGTTAATATACCCAGGTGCTCACCAAAGAAACATGTAACAACTAAAATTAGATTTTAAAAAAACTGTTCAGTTCACTCATTTATAATCAGTAGGAGAGACTGTCTAGATGTTGGGGCAGCTCTATGATTTGGGTCTGTAACATGTAATAACTGAATTCAGTACCCTAGTTTTATGTTAAGCTATTAGGATTTACTTGATAAAAGTTAATCCCCCTGCCTCCCCAGCCTACCTGTATTCTCTTCATGACTTCTGGGTCCTGAGCTCCCTGTGCAGCCTGAAGAAGGTACTGCAGTCAGAACCATGTACTGATTGGTAGCAATAAAAGTTGTCCTTAACCTTTTTATCTCTTTTTTTCCTGCTTGTGAAGAAGTGCAAGTTCTTGATTAGTTAGGCACTGCTGTTTCAACGACGGAAGATGATAAAAATCCTAATATGCTTGCAGAAAATAAAACATGAAGAAAGGCGGGGATTTAAATGTGACTGAGTTTAGGTTTTGACATGTGGACTGTGACCTTCCAAACAGTAAATTCTTAGCTTAAGGAACTGTGACCCATATCTAGATAACCTGTCACTTTTAAGCCACCGATTTTGTTCTGGTTTAGCAGAGCAAGAGTATTCTCCGGTCAGCATTTGACTTTTAAATTCTTTTATGGTAGGGCTGGCTACCTGCTGTAGTCCAATCAAGGGGGGAAACTTACGTGTAAATAAGTACAGGGAGTGAGAAGGAATATAGAAGAATGAACTATTTTTGGGGTAAAGACAGCATGAGGCTGGCTTTGCAGATACACATAAAAAAAAAAAAATCCCACTTATCCTAATCTTCATCTGGTTCTGTTTCTTAGTTCTCCTGAATTGTGGGAGCTCCAGGAAGTCCACACTACAAATGTTCATCATTAAAATAAATGCTACGTAACCCCCCACCCCCTGTCACTTAACAAATGAGGAACATTTTTGTTATGTAGAAAGCTAGGGATAAAGTTGAGTCTAGAATCAGAATATTTCATTTGTGGTCCAGTTGCTACATACAGATGGTACAGAAGTTAGAACTAATATTTTAATTTCTTGATCTTGAGGCTTTCTAATCAAAAATGGATGGTAAGTCCGTTTGGAAAAAAGTATTTTCATGGGAAACTGAATTGGAATGGTTGGGCTGCTGCTAGGTCTCATGCCTCAAAGCTTATTTAACCCATAGATCAGTTAAATGATTGATAGTACTTTGGAGACCAGCCCCTCCTGAGCACCCTTTCAGTTACATCTCCCTGCCACTGTCCCAGAGACCTGAGCTACCATGAGCTCTTGGAGAACTTTGGCTCTCTGGGGCCTGAACTCACGGACTGAGACAGAAAAACGCAGAACATTCTTGAACAGTGTGGAACTTTTCATTAAGAATGTTCCTACTGTTAAATTAGATCCTGTTTTATCAGAAACTATGCTCATTAGCCTGTCCCAAGATACCTGTCTTAAATCTTGGCATCACACCACAATTACTCTCTTCCAAGATTTGGAAACTTGAGCTTTATGGATCACGATTGCCTGGTGCCTCCTGGTGGTGAGAAAACCTGTTATTCCACAAAGGCTCTGCAAAGGCAAGGGAATAAACATGATGGGAGAAATTAGTTATTCTCTAATCCTCCATTCAACAGAAGTGAAAGTGCATGCTCTAGCTCTTGAAGCTCTTACTAGGAGTAGCCGAATAATTACTTGTCTTCCAGGGTTGAAGTTCGTTACCTGTGGAGAACTGAGTTTTCTGCAGTGATGTGTTACATTAGTGTGGAGGGGAGGGCTGGGAAAGGAGAGTGCTCTCGAATGCCAGTTAAAAAGACTGATACAACTGATTTGCCAGAAATGTTCCTGACACCATGCCTTCGGCTCTGAAAGAAGCTATAGCGTAGCTCCTCACTTGGCCAAGCTGATGAGAATCGGAGCCTACAGTCCTGCCATTGAGGCAGTTAAGACATTGGCGTCTGCCCCCGAAGAAGTATTCTTTCTTTTCTCCTATGTTGTTAGAACCAACACGTATGTATGTCCTGTCTATTCTCTTTACATACCTGGATTTTCAGGATTTCTAATTCACTCCTTTGGAGTTCCTGAAACAAGAAAGTAAGTTGTCCTTGAGCATCACTGCCCGAAACAGCACAATGTGGTTAAAGCCACTGATGCTCAGCAAGCATAACGGGGAGCCTTGTTATCTTCATCCTTAAGGTAGTTTGTACATTTTCAACTGGAAAGGGAAGATACTGTGCCAGATGTCTTTCTTCACAAGCCTCCTGGGACATAGCAGGTTGAAGATTAGAGAATTGTCCACATAGCCAAGAATTTTTAACAAGGTTCAATTTCTGACTTACCAAATATAAAGGATAAAGCTCTGAGATACGATGTTTTGTCTAACATGTAACTGTTATTTCTAAAGCCTCCAAAATTGTTGAAACTAGTCTTTAAACTGTGTTAACAGGAGAATGTCTCCTATGCTCATTTATAATGTTTTGAGCTTTGGCCACTAGATGGTGCTTTTAGAAAAATAGAACATCTTTTTAAGTTTCAGGGAGAAACTGGGCTTACTGTGTGGGAATGAGCAGTTGAGCGCTCACCTCTTGTTGCTAAGCAATGCATCAGCATCATTTGCAGTTACAGGTTCACATCACGTAAGCCATAGGAGGCCTGTGCATGTGGGACTGAGGGAAATTAGCTATATCTGCCGTGGTTTGGGACAGATGGTGGCTAAGCATGTCTCGTACCAAAAAAAAAAAAAAAAGTTTTACAAATTAAAAATCCTAATACTTGTTCATTGTTCGGTCCTGCAAGATAACTTCGAAATGTGATTGAGAATACTTGAAAATAGCCAACTCCCAAAAGCTTGCTGCTTTCATTTTGAACTGGATTTGACCAATCAGTAGGACAGAAAAGATGGAAGTACAGGCTTTGTAGCACAGCTTGCATTAAGGAGTTAAAATGAAAGCTTTCCCTCACCATACTGATGAGTTTACAGACCTTCCTTTATTTACAGTGCGGTTACATCCCGATAAACTCATCGTAAGTTGAAAATATCCTTAAGTCGAAAATGCATTTAATGCATCTAACCTACTGAACATCATAGCTTAGCCTAGTCTACCTCAAATGTGCTCAGAACACTTACAGTAACCTTACAGTTGGGCAAAATCATTTAACACAGTCTGTTCTATAATAAAGTATTGAATATTCTATGGAATTTAGTGAATACTGAATAGAAAAACAATGCTTCTAAGTGTATCCGTTGTTTACGCTTGTGATTGCATTGGCTGACTGGGAGCTGCAGCTCGCTGCCACTGCCCAGCAAAATGAGCATCCAAACTGCATATTGCTAGCCCAGGAAAAGATCCAAATTCAGAAATATGGTTTCTACTCAATGCATATCACTTTCACACTATCATAAAACCAAAAAATTGTAAGTCCAACCATCTTAAGTCAGGGACCATCTGCAGTGGTTTTTATGATGTAAGACCCATGTGTAGCACACAGACATAACTCTCCCTGTGCCATCTCTTGATTATTGAAAAGGTGTCATGAGAGGTAACCAAGAACGTCTTATCAGAGAAATCTGAAGAGAGCACAAAACACTAGTGTTGAAGTTTCCAGGAGGCTGAACCTCTCCATTTCTCTTGACTCTTTAAGTACAACCTTCATAGCAGATCAAATGCCAAAACTGTTGACCTTATTGTGTTACACAACAGTAGGGCAGTGTAGAAAAGCATAGGCCCAGTAAACTGGTTTCTCATGCTCAGAAACAGCTTATTTTGTTAGCAAGAGAACACTCCAGAAAGAAGGGCAACCTTAAGAAAGAAACCACTGAAAAGCAATTGGGGGTGGAGGTGGGTTTTGCTTTTCAGAATACTATCTCTCACAATTTAGCATAGAAAGGGCTTACCTTTTCTGTTTACCCCCAGAATTTGCCGTGTTTGAGGTATGCAGAGAGACATGCAATTCATAGTGTGTGGCTACATCCACAGTACCTAATGTAGGCCTGGTGCAGTATATAGAATAAAAGTATTTGGGGGGGTGGTGTGGGAAAGATGGATGGATATAAATAAAGGGCAAGGAGAGCTAGAACTGCAACTCTTCAGTATTCTCAACGCACCGTGCAGAGAAGGCATGGTTAAGCAGAGTTCTTCGTGGAATGTTATTCTGCACCCTCCCCACCATACACAAGTTTTCCTTTTGACAGGGACCAACCTTGTGATAATAGCCTCTGCCTCCTCTGATCTAGGTGCCATGATTTTGAAAGGAAGTTTCCATAGTGGACTGAAATGCCATTCAACTCACAGCATGCAAATAACTGATTTGAGGCAGATGTGAAGTCTTCATCTGTACCTCCCACGATGTTCCACTAACAACCAAAAGATCTCATTTGTAAACAGCTACCTGTCAGAATAGGAAGGTTGGAAAGCGAGGTGAGCAGATACCGAGGCTCGCAATTAGTCTTTTTAGATTAACACATTCAACCTCTACACCAGCCCTGAGGGTGCCAGTTGTTTGCTAGAGATTGATCTGAAAGCCAGATGGTATCAGTCTCAAGGACTAAATACCATGGTCTTAAGGATTCAAGTACAAGGATCTTCAAAATGAGCCACATTGCCAACAATGTCAGTCTCCAGGGTGGAAAGATGACAGTCATCTGCAAAGCAAAAGGTTTTGTTTGCATAGAAATGTCATTTAAATACAGTGAAAATTATGTACTTAGTTTTTCAGATATCCAGAACTTTTACCCATAAGCTGGGACAATGATAGGCAGAAAAATAGCCAAAATAACTAAGAAGGACGTTTAGGTACAGTCGATGGGGAAAAGTATGGTCAAGCCTATTGCGAAGATGACCTAATTTTATCTGACCCAGCTCAGCACATACTAATTCAGATCAGGTCTCTCCTTTATACGTGTGCTGTGCCTATCTCAAGTAGACCATCTAGACTACACTCACTTTTCAGCAATAAGGACGAGTCTGTATCTGAAGCCGAGTAAGGTTTTTGTTTTAAAGACTGTATGAAAAATAAAAAGCCTATCACCAATGGAAATAGGTTCAGATGGCTCAGTTCTCCCTGCTTTCCAACAATCTAGCTTGAGATAAACGAGTAGTTTTTATTATTCGTATCTCTTAGTTGGTCAGCCAAGAGAACTCGAGAACCTACCAGTTTTATCAACATTTGAGAAAAGGAACCACCTTAAGTAAAATGCCAAATCAATGGAGGATAACTGTGTACTTGACCAGTGGTGTCTGTTATCCACTTTCCCTAGATAACTGAACAGAGGCCGACCTGCGTGTAATAGCCAGTTCCCTCGCCCCTCCCATAGATGATTACCATTACACTTCCT